TATAGCGGACCAGTATGGTAGATTCATTATTGTGAGTGGTAGTATTTTGAACACTAAATTCATTTTTGCCAATGTCTATGCTCCCAATTGGAACGATCCAAATTTTTTTAGTACTTTTTTCACTAAAATTCCTGACTTGTCTTCCCACTATTTGGTTCTTGGTGGCGATTTTAATTGTTGGCTCGGGCCGCTGGATCGATCCTCAAATAAGCCTGGTAGGCAATCCAACTCTTCCAAAATTATTAATATGTTCCTTAAAGAATTTTCTGTTATTGATACCTGGCGTTTTCTCAACCCCACACGTAGAGAGTACACCTTTTTCTCCCCTGTTCATCATACATACACTCGTATTGATTACTTTCTACTGGACAGTCGACTTACTTCACAGATTCGCTCTTGCTCTCATAGTGCTATTGTCATTTCAGATCATGCTCCGTTGACTCTAGATTTGGCAGTGGGCCAAAGTTCTCCACCAGCTCCATGGCGTTTGAATACACGCTTGCTGTCAGACGATAAGTTCACCACATTTGTGAATTCCAAGATAGACTTATTTATAGAGACAAACATTACACCCGGAATATCACCCTCCATTTTGTGGGAAACGTTTAAGGCTTTTATCAGGGGACATATTATATCTTATGCTGGTTTTGAGGCGAATCAAAGGAAAGCAAAGTTGTCGGAGCTCATAATACGCATATCGCAATTAGATGAGTATGCTGTCTGCCCGACACCAGAGGTCTATAATGACAGGCTGTCTTTGCAGACTGAGTTTGATCACCTGTCCTCTGCTCGGGCTGAAGAGATGTTGTTGAAGTGTCAGTACTCCCAGTATGAGTATGGGGATAAGGCCAGTAAACTGCTCTCCCATCAGCTTCGTAGTGCAGCAGCTGCACATTCCATTCCTCGGATTCAGACATCAAGCGGTGTTTCTACGGATCCTAAAATAATTAATGACCAATTTCGAGACTTTTATTCATCTCTCTATGCGTCTGAGTGTGCATTTAGCACTGAGGCTTTGGACTCATTTTTCAATCATCTTAAGCTCCCATCAATTAATCAGACACACAGCCTTCAGCTGGAGGGACCAGTAACTGTAGAAGAGATCCTGCAAGCTACCAGCAAATTGCAGTGTTCTAAGTGTCCCGGACAGGACGGGTTTCCTGTTGAGTTCTATCGTAAATTTATGCCTAAACTGGCCCCGCTCATGATAAATATGTATAAGCATTCACTGGAAGTTGGATCCCTCCCACCCTCTCTACTGCAGGCATCTATATCCTTGATCTTAAAAAAGGATAAGGATCCATTACAATGTGGCTCATACCGTCCCATTTCTTTGTTAAATGTGGACTATAAAATACTTGCTAAACTTTTAGCGATGCGTGTGGAAGCAGTCTTGCCATCTGTAATTAACCCGGATCAAACAGGCTTTATTAAAGGGAGATATGCCTTCTCTAACCTTAGACGTTTGTTTAATGTTCTTTACAATCCCTCAGACTCCAACAGCCCTGAGTTTGGGATCAGTTTAGATGCTGAGAAGACTTTTGACAGGGTTGAGTGGGGATACCTTTTTTATGTTTTGGATAAATTCGGCTTTGGTAAAATAATCATCTCCTGGTTGAAACTTCTTTATACTTCCCCGCTTGCTGCTGTCAAAACAAATGGCACATGTTCTGACTTTTTTCCTCTGTTTAGGGGGACTAGGCAGGGCTGTTGCCGTTGCTCTTTGCAATTGCAATTGAGCCCCTGGCCATATCGCTGAGATCAAACCCAGGTATCACCGGGGTTACTAGAAATGGTATAGAACAAAGGGTCTCCTTATACGAAGATAATTTGCTTCTTTATATCTCAGAACCAGCATCCTCATTTCCTTTGGTGCTCTCAATACTTGAACAGTTTAGCCTTATTTCTGGCTATAAGCTGAATCTCGCTAAGAGTGAACTGTTCCCCCTGAATGCTGCTGCACAGAAACATCAGTGCACAGCACTGCCTTTTCGAGTTGTATCGGACAACTTCACATATTTAGGGGTTAAAATTACAAGTCAATTTCATGCTCTTTTCAAGCTTAATTTCAACATACTTGTGGAGAAAGTTAGGCAGGATTTGGACAGATGGTCTCTACTCCATCTGTCTGTAGCAGGCGCATAAATACAATTAAAATGAATATCTTCCCCAGATTTTCTTTTCTTTTTCAGTGTGTCCCTGTATTTATCCCAATTTCCTTTTTTGTTAAATTAGACAAGATTCTGTCTGGGTTCATTTGGAACAAAAAAACCCTAGAATACGCAAGATATATCTTCAAAGACCGAAAAAGATGGGGGGGATGGCTTTACTAAACCTTATGTTCTATTATTGGGCATGTAATATTCGTATTCTCAGGTACTGGCTACAGGGGAAGGCATGAATAATGCCCCGGCCTGGCTGAGTTTGGAGACTTCTTCTTGTGCCTCATCCTCTTTACCAGCCCTGATTTATGCCCAAAAGCAGCCTCCAAGTGCAGGTTCTTATAATAACTCTATTGTCAAAGTTACCTTGAAAATATGGTATCAATTTCGTCGTTATTTTAAGTTGACCTTTTTTTCCCTTCAGCCAGACTAGCTCAAATATACCCCAACCTTAGCCCTGATTGCGACCGTTGTCATCAAACACCTGCCTCTCTAATACATATGTTTTGGTCATGTCCATCCCTCAAACAATACTGGATTAATATTTTTCTGACTTTATCAAAGACCATCCAGCTAACCCTCCAACCTGTGCCCTTAACTGTTTTGTTTGGGGTTCTTCCTGATACAGTTGCCTTGCCGACGCCCCAAGTGGATCTGGTAGCATTTCTCACCTTATTGGCAAGACGCAGAATATTGTTATGTTGGAAGTCCCCTTCTCCCCCATCCTGGGAAATCTGGATCAGAGACGCTTTGCATTTTAGCAAACTCGAAAAGATTAAATTCACCCTGCGTGGGTCTATGGCCAAATTTTTTAAGACCTGGCAACCCTTTTTTGACCATGTTCAGACTTTGCGGTCTCGCAACGCTCCCAATTAGCCAGCTTAGACTTTATTAGATTTTATTTTATCTTATGTTTAAGTAAGATGTTTAAGTTTAAGTATATGGACTCTATTGTGCCTGCGCCTTATGATGGCTTACTTACCTACTTTATACATATTTCTTTTCTCTTACAGAATTGACTTATCTCTACAACTAAGCTGACCACTCATTATGTTTGTGTTTTATTTGTGTTTTTTTTTTGTTTTTGTTTTTCTTGGTTTGTGTGTTTTGTTTTTTCTGTGTCTGTGTGGGGGTGTGGGCTTTGAAACTCTCCACATATCTCTTGTACACTCAAGAACTGTTATCTTGTACTCCAGGGTTTGCTACTCGTATTATTAGATTGGACCCTTTCTTTTTTCTTTTTGTACACCCACTGATACTCCTATAATTATGAGGTGGGAGTGTATGTTTCATATTGTTTTATGTTCTTCATAAAACCTTAGAAAAACCAGTCTTGAGATATTTCTTGGCCCAGTCTTGACGTTTCAGCTTGTGTGTCTTGTTCAGTGGTGGTCGTCTTTCAGCCTTTCTTACCATGGCCATGTCTCTGAGTATTGCACACCTTGTGCTTTTGGGCACTCCAGTGATGTTGCAGCTCTGAAATATGGCCAAACTGGTGGCAAGTGGCATCTTGGCAGCTGCACGCTTGACTTTTCTCAGTTCATGGGCACTTATTTTGTGCCTTGGTTTTTCCACACGCTTCTTGCGACCCTGTTGACTATTTTAAATGAAACGCTTGATTGTTCGATGATCACGCTTCAGAAGCTTTGCAATTTTGAGACTGCTGCATCCCTCTGCAAGATATCTCACTATTTTTGACTTTTCTGAGCCTGTCAAGTCCTTCTTTTGACCCATTTTGCCAAAGGAAAGGACGTTGCCTAATAATTATGCACACCTGATATAGGGTGTTGATGTCATTAGACCACACCCCTTCTCATTACAGAGATGCACATGACCTAATATGCTTAACTCATTCACTGCCAGCCATTGGCAGTGAATGAGTTAAACCCATTGACTCATTCACTGCAATTGACGGCTATAGACGTCAATTGCAGTGAATGAGTTAATTGGTAGTAGGCTTTCAAGACTATACAGCTTGGAGTAAGACAACATGCATGAAGAGGATGATGTGGACAAAATACTCATTTGCCTAATAATTCTGCACTCCCTGTACATCCATCCATCTTCATCCACTTTATCCGGGGCCGGGTCGCGGGGGCAGCAGCCTAAGCAGAGAAGCCCAGACCTCCCTCTCCCCAGCCACCTCCTCCAGCTTATCCGGGGGAACACCAAGGCATTCCCATGCCAGCCGAGAGATATAATCTCTCCAGCGTGTCCTGGGTCTGCCCCGGGGCCTCCTCCCAGTGGGAGATGCCCGGAACACCTCACCCAGGAGGCGTCCAGGAGGCATCCTTGTCAGATGCCCGAACCACCTCAGCTGGCTCCTTTCGATGTGGAGCAGCAGCGGCTCTACTCTGAGCCCCTCCCTCTCTCTATATATTTATCCATATTATAGATTTTATTAAAATGTAATGTTCCTTTTGACCTCTGATCTCACTTTTACAATTCACATTTGCCTTTTTTAAACCTGACCCCAAAATATCTTTAAAGAAAGTCTTGTCAAGCCTCCATTACCTATTCCTGTTAAGGTAATCTGTAATTTCACAGAACTACAAACTTATTAAAGTATTTTTAAAAACAACAAAGTAAACAAAATGAATATATACAAAATGCAATACTGAAAGTAAATACTGCCCATGGAGTGAGCTGCCTTGATGGAGTTTTGCCATTTGTTTTTGTCCATTTTTGCATTTTTGTTAAGTTCAATATATGTAATTGTGTATTAATGTATTATTATTATTATTTATTTTATTAATTTATTTCTTTATTTATTTGGGGGGGTTTTTTTTTGGGGGGGGGGGGGGGGGGGTGAACTTTAACTTATCTTTTATCCACTGATAGATCTTCGTCCAAGTTAATGGTGGCCATTTATTGTCTGTCTTATTAATACCATCCATTAGATTATTGTTTGAATCTTGGCTCGCTGCATTTTCCACCATTTTTAAGATGTTTGGCATCGCAGCTAAATTAACTTAACCTTTGGCTCCGTCATTGCACAGCCTTCACTATTCTCCACCAGCCTCTCCATGTCTCTGCCAGTGTCTGGTTTGTCCTTGGCAATGTTGCACACATCCAGCTGTCTGTCTCAGCTTTTCAGGAGACACGAACTGATCATCGATCTCCATGTATACGAAACACATTAGATTTTTTAGTGCCTTTATTTTGTCTAAGCTTTGACAGTAATGGTGCAGGAACGTGCAAAATAAGAGCTGCAAAGACAAACCCATAAATATGACAAATCACTATAGTAAATGAGGAATCTGCCCACTTCCCACTTAAATAGTATTTGTTTTTCTTCGATTACCGCCGAGCAATAATAACTTTCGGAATATTTTGAATAGATAATCACCTTGATTTATCTTCTTATAGTTAACATTTCCCACTAGATGTCAAATTGAAAAACAGTGTTGTTATTTAGGGAACTTTTTGCTTTGTGAGTCTAGACTTAGACGAATCTACAGCTAAATAAAATCTAAGATCTGCGTAGGTTATATTTTAACAGCAGGGACGTCAACTGAAACGGACTCCAACTGTAAGCAAGTGAGTTTAACTAGCATAACAATCAATTGTTAACAAAGGTGAACAAAGGCGATTATTTATAGGCATGTTTCTTTAGAATGAATTGTCGCACGCCTTTCTGATTAAGGAGGAGGCGGGAGCAGCAGAAAATGCGTTTGGGAACCGTGCGGTGGTTTTGTGTGTGCGCACCTCCCCTCTCGCGCGTAAAGAGCCTCCTTTCTCTTTACGGATCCTGTTTTCTGCTCTTCATGCCAGAGCCTGCAGCTGTCTCAGTTGCGTCCCACTGCCGCTGTTGTGGGAAATCGTCGTCCCGCGTGACGAACAGACAGCAGATTTTCCACTCCCTTAAAGTGTATCAGCGCCAGCCCGAAGGAAATCGCAACTTTTAATCAATTTCCATTACTGGAAGGAGACGGAAGGAATACCTGACAGCTCGTGACGCCCCGTCAGCGTGTTGACTGAAATCTGTCCAACTGTGAAGGCTTCAGGAATGTGGAATACAACTCAGCCTCAACGGTGAGTGCCGTAATGTGCCTGTCACTCCCCCGCTCGCTCCGTGTGTGTTCAGTCACAAGTGGTTGTCGGACTGTAGGAATTCTGCTAAATTAAGCGATTGAATGCCAAGTGTGCGCACAACTGCTTTTTGAATTCAGGCGTAGGTCATCTTTAAACAAAGCAGCCAGCCTATAGCGTGTGAAAAACAGATTAGTTCAACTGATACTAAATATTTACTCATGTGTCTTTTGCTTTCATGCAGTGAAAGGACGTTCCACTGCCCCTGACACCATGACCACAGACTTGAACTTGACCTCTCTAATGAATGTGACAGAGCTTCATAACCACACAAGAGGATGTTCCCTCACCAAGACAGGTTTCCAGTTCTATTACCTGCCCACTGTTTACATCCTAGTTTTCATTACTGGACTGGTGGGCAACAGCTTGGCCATTTGGATGTTTGTTTGCCATATGAGACCCTGGAGCAGCATCTCTGTCTACATGTTCAACCTGGCATTAGCTGACTTTTGCTACGTCCTCTCACTGCCTTTCCTCATCTTCTACTACTTCAACAAAACAGACTGGATATTCGGGGACGTTCTGTGCCGACTGCAGCGCTTTATATTCCATGTGAATCTTTATGGGAGTATTCTGTTTCTGACCTGCATCAGTGTTCACAGGTACACTGGGGTGGTGCACCCGCTCAAGTCTCTGGGTCGACTGAAGAAGAAAAATGCAGTTATTACCAGTGCACTGGTGTGGGTTTTGGTTGTTATCAGCATGTCCCCCATCCTTTACTATTCCCGGACTGGCTTAAAGCGTAACGCAACCACTTGTTACGACACCACCACAGTGGACGAGTTGCCGGGGTATTTCATCTACAGTATGACTTTGACGGTGTTTGGGTTCTGCATCCCATTTATTGTCATTTTTTGCTGCTATGGCATGATTGTCAAAGCATTAATCTGCAATGAGATGAACAATGCGCCTCTGCGGCAGAAATCCATTCACCTAGTTATCATAGTGCTTGCAGTCTTTGCCGTCTCCTACCTGCCTTTCCATGTGATGAAGAACCTCAACATGAGGGCCAGGCTGTACTTCCAAACCCCTGACATGTGTGAGTTTAATAACCGCGTCTATGCCACCTATCAGGTGACGCGGGGTCTGGCCAGCCTCAATAGCTGTGTGGATCCTATTCTGTACTTCCTGGCTGGAGACACCTTCAGGAGGAAGCTGTCACGGGCCACTAAAAAGACTTCGAGGAAAGGAGAGAATGTCCTTCAATCAAAGAGTGATGAAGCAGTGCTTAACAGCCTAACTGAGTATGTGGAGAATGGGGGCCGGAGGCTGTAATGAGATACCTGTGTGTACCAGGTTGTGGATCTCTTTTAGCTTTAGAAAACATTTTGGACTTGGCAGAAATAAATGCAGTGTGTGTGGCCTGAACACTGTATGTAGAATTCATTGGACAACAGTTTATAAAACTAGGATAAATAGTCATTTTAACCCTGTGATAAATATCGCTTGCTTGCAGCCTGTTGATATTGATAAGCTACTGTACTGTATCGTCCTGTACTTGTATTGTACTTTAAATGGTAGAGCAATCACTCTTCTTTCTTATCATTAGTAATCATTGTGATGAACCAGGCTCGGGGAAATAGGTTTTCCTACAGGCACTAAAAACCTGTTCATTTATTTGTTCAGTAAAAATAGGACTTAGAAGCACATTTTCTATTCACAAGCTGATGTTTAATAATCAATAGCTATTGAACACCTAAGAGCTTGTGCCTAAGGAAGTGGACATGGGATGATGTTTTTTTTCCTTTAGAGGAAAAAACTAAATGCACTGAACCTGAGATTGCTGCATGGATGTGCCATACAGACATTGTAATGCACTAAAATTGGGACCTCTCCCTTTAGAGGGCTATCTATCCCTCCTCCTTTCTTTCTACATCCATTACTGAAGGGGTGTGAAATGTGGTCAACTACTTTTTCATTCTGACAGCTCCGAGGTGAAGGTCTCCAACGGCTCTGTTACCGCAAGCTTTCACTCCTTTTACCTACTAAAATAATGACAGTATTTTGTGTATATGATACTAAAAATAATATCTTTGTTTCTCTTAGGTGGACTATGCAGAATATTGTGATGTTCCAGATTAGTTTTGTGTTTTTAACTGTCGCTATTTTTAGTGCAGATTTTCATACATGAGCCTACTATCAAAATCCATTATCAGTATCATCAGACTGAATCACCAGAACAGGTTCTGAGTACTCGAGTGTATATTACAAAATAAAGACTATCAGCTTTTAAATGATCTAAACGCATAAACGCACATACTTTATAACCTGCTTCGTGACTCAATCCGCATATTGAAGATTTTTTTGTATGAGATACCTCAAAGTAACTGGTGCACTGTGTCCGAGTTTTGGCAGATAATCACTTCTGTTGTGTATCTGTTGTAAACATTCTGGAGAAATTATCGGTATATATTTTACCCTGGTCTGTGTAAATGTTTGCTGTCTGTACTTCCTTTGTAAATCTGTAATGTGGTCATTTATAAGTGTCAAGGAAGGAAGTAAATTAGTTATACAGGAGATACGGGGCCACACATATCTGTGTCAGTACATCTTTGTATTTACAGTCGACAATTTATAAGCACTTGTATAATTTCACCATGTTTGTACCAGCTGCATGCACCCTCGCTTAAATGTTCGCAGAGGTGTGAGAGAACAAACGCCACTTGTTTTGGAGACATTCGTGCAGAGCTCTGTTCTCGCTGCTCCCCCTTGTTTTCATCACTGCTCTTGACTTTCTCTTTTAGCACAGCTAGGAGGAAATGAGGGGACGAGTCAGGAATAAAGAGTGGCACCTTTTCCTCCTGGCTTATCCTAAGACTTCCTTTGTGTCCGTCACAATGCCACAGACCCATTGAAGCAGACAGGGGTGTGAAGCTGTCGCCAGGACCCGGCGGCGGTGCAGTGTTGCGGGCACAGGAAAGCAACCAACCCTCTTCCTCCACACAGCGCCCGTGAATACAAACGGCTTTTGATTTCCTGGCTTTGAGGTGCAAACTGCATATCTGGCCTTTGCAAATGTGTGTGTGTATGTATTCGCTGTTTGTGCGTGTGTCTGTATGAGACAGCCTGAAGGCAATGAAGACCTTATTCCAGTGAGTGGCTGTTGTTGCCTTTATTTTGGTTTGTTAGGTAGTGGTGTTTTAATTTTCAAAAGCAGCTACTGTTTGCATGCACATGGAAGGAAGGTTAAATTCAGCCAAAGCAGGATATCTTGCCAACATCAGTGCTTTTGCGCATGGGCGTCAAATCTTGACTTGCAAACAGTTGGGATGCTTGCCAGTGCTTCTTCCCTCCCATCTTAGCCACCTTTCACCTTTTTTCTCCAACATCTTCCTCTCTTGTTTCTGAATTTAGAATCAGAAAAAAAATAACCTTTTCTTTACTTTACTACCCTGAGGCAGAATGTTAGTTGAATAATTGTTGGGAAGACGGAGGACAACAGAAGGAAGAATCAAGTGTAAAGAGTAATGGGAGTTGCGGAGAAAGAAAATTTGTGTTTGTTTTTCTAGAGAACCCTGTTGGTGGTACAGGGCCCACAGAGTAATCACAGTCAAGACAGCCAAACAAAAACACACAACTTTGTTCCACAGATTTACAGTGGGACCTGGCACAGGATCCATATCCATCACAGGGGGCACTGTCCGCTTTAGCCAAAAACTATCCCTAACCGCAAAACAACAAATGCAATCAAAATGTCAGTGTGTGGTCCTGTGATACAAACAATCAGGAGAAGGCTGTGGTTAGGTTACAAATTGTAGTGGCTGCATTCACGTCATGTGACAGTGCTGTAATAACCACAAGGCAATATGAACTTCTGTTTACATAAGTTTCCAATTTTTTCTGTGTTATCAGTGAACTCTAAAAAAGCCTCATGATATTGAATAGTAACATATTACAAGACACGTGCACAAAACCTTATAGAAAACACTGCACTTCTGGGACGATTTAAGTGCTCTGGAAAGCTTCAAGTGCTTTTTACAAGCATGAAACTGTTTGTTTGTGCAGAACATGGAGCAGTTTGCAAGAAAAGTCACGCAACCAGTTATGCGTTTTCCTGCTCCTGCAGCCAAGTAAATATGTTATAAAAACATTTCGTTATGTGACTCTTGGTTACAGCGCTGCAGTGCTGATACTGATGTGCTTTGATATTAACATGTGTTTACTTGCTCCTATCAGTCATCGACCTACCACACAGCAGAACAGTGGTAAAATTTATTGCACTTATTTGGTAAAGTCAGACTGCGTTGACACATTTTGGATATTATCCTAGACTTCAAACAAACAAAAAGAAAAGAAAACAATTCATGGAAAATTTCCCATTAACCACACCCATATGAGCCAGCAGCGTGCTTGAGAAAGAAGAACCCTCACTCTAACACCAGACAAAACACTGCTGGACAGGTAGGGAAAGTTCACACCTCATTGGCAATCAGCATACCTGTGAAAGGACTGAAGCTGTTGTTGCATGCCCAAATGCAAACCAGCATGCCTTTTGCCAATGCGTGTGTGTATTTATGATATCCCAACTAAGATGACACTTTGGAGGTCGGGTATCAACCTGAACTTGCTTTGCTACTGTTGAAAAAAGATTAGAAGTATTACAGGTATAAGTGTTTACTTGTACGTCAGGCAGAGTGATAGTGCCATGATTTCCACAGAATGATCCGAAAATATCCCGTTCTCTGGGTGAAAAGGCCTTGTTGATGTCAGAGGTCAGAAGACAATGGCCTGACTGTTTTGTGCTGATAAGGAAGGCAAGTAAGCACTTGGTACAATGAAGAAGAGTCCCTCTAAACAACATGAAATTGAAGCTACAATTTACACAAGATCACTAAAATTAGTCAACAGAAGGTTGGGAAAAACATTGCCTGGTACTGCACCGTTAAATGGTAAAGTGACAATGTGGCACAAACAATATGAAAGCATGGATCCATCCTGCTTTGTATCAGTGGTTCAGCTGCTGGAGTGGGTGTAATAGTGTGAGGGATATTTTGTTAGCTCTCTTTGGACCCCTCAGTACGAGTTTATCATCATTCACCTCGCCCCAAAGCTTACTTGAGTGTTGTGGCTGACTATGACTATTCCTTTCTCATCACAATGTACCCATCTTCTAATGGCTGCTTCCAGAATGATAACACACTATGTCACGAAGCTCAAATCATCTGAAAATTCTTGGTCCAATAGAGCGCGTTTGGGATGCGGCAGAACAGGAGGTTTGCATCATGGATCCATGTTTTTTTGTTGTTGTTTTTTGTTGTTTTTTTTACCTGGGAAAGTCAGCTAGAGAAATAAGCTGTGTTACAGTCCACATATTATAAGCATTTGTAAACAGTGAAATAAACCAACTACATTAAGTACCAAAAGTCCACAGCTATCTTTTGGATGCTAAAATTACAGACTGATATGGAGTATGTAAAATTATCCAGCAAATTAAACCAGCCAACAGTGCATAAAATATTGGAAAAATTTGCTCCTCCATACATGGCTGAAAGATTAAACTGCCGCTTAGATAAGAATGCACCAGTAATTATCGCATAATATGATTGTTACGTGACATAGTGTTGTGTTTCCAGCTGCTGGGTTCTGTCCTTCTCTCTTTCTCTCTCCCTGTCAGATCTCAGCCTATCTCCTCCTGGAATAGGTGGAGAAATGCAGCTGAAGTGAGCATATTGGAATAAGCATATGGAATATGCACAGCAATGAATGGGGACTTTCAGAATTTTATACTCTGTGGTAGCTCAGTGTTTTTCTAAACACTTACCACAAATGCGTATGGCTTGGACTGCAGCCAGTACCATTCATAGAAGTGTGTTATTGCATATAAGATGTGGAAAAATTAGATCAGGCTGGAGCAGCAAGTGTGTGAGGGGGTGTGTGAGGCAGAGGAAGGGCTGTCATATTTTTGCTGTCATAAGGTTTATGATCAATATCTCTGCAGCCACTCTTGTCTCGCTTCTTGTTGATTTTCTGCCGCTTCTTGGCATCGTCATCATTCAGCTTGAACGATTGTCTCACTGGCTAACATCCACAAACCCGCGCCTTTGATTCTGTACAGTGGGGTAAAAACTAGCCCATCAAGCAGTTTATTCCCAAATAAGAGAAACCCTAAGAAGGAAAGTCAGCTCCCTTTTAACCGATATCAAAAGATGCAGTTTTGCTGAGGGCCTAGTAGCGCTGGGTGATGATAGCGCTGTCAGACAGTGCAGAGAAAGGCTGGACTGTCTGATAAGAGTTATGAGATAGGAAGTATCCTTGCAAAATGAACTGAGGTTAAATTAAAGGGCTTCTACTGCTTGGGAATATAGGGACGAGAAAAGATAAGGTAAGGTGTTAGAACAAGAAGGTGAGAACTGAGGAGATACAAAATGTGTTGTGGAGACATAAAAACATAAGGAGAAAAACAGGCAAGAAACACAAGATAGAAAAGGGTACCTGAAGGCACTTTATTAACTCCATATAACAGTATACATACAGGATATTACTTAAGGATGAGGCAGGGGAGGGCTACAAACAGAAGAAACAAAGGCTTGCTTAATAACATATTAGATTAATAACCGAAGAGGCTCGTGCATGTTCTTCTGCTCTGGTCTTCCATTCACAGCATTTGTCTGTTGTTTAATGTCTGGTGCCCTTTTCTTGAAAGATAGGATGTGTTTTCCTAAATACACCCTGAAATTACTATGAATTATAGAAAGCCAAGAGCTTTTTATAACGTGAAAAAGATAGCAAAGCCTTCAGCAATAGCTACTTTTAATGGAATCACTGAATATTCACATGTAAAAGAAGAAAAAAGGAATAAAATTAAGAGTTACAGCTAACTTAGCTACAGCTACGGCCTGCTGTAATAAAGGAAGAATATAAAACTGGCTTCCTTTTGCCTGCAGCTTGTCCGTAAGTTGTGAAACTCCTCTAAAGGATGTTGAGATATGCACTCTACTGAGAGTCTATGCTTTTATTAGCTGGCAGCCTATCAGTCTGCTCATTGCCCTGCTGAAGGATGGATGATAAATCTCTCAAAATCAAAGTTTATGTTCCAGCAGATTACATTCACACTTCCATATTTACAGTGGGCTAGTGTGTGTATTAGCAGAAATGGAAAAAAGCTTCTGTGTATGGAAAAACTGGATTTTAGAGCAAGTCATTGATATGCTCTAATTTACACCCTTTACTTTGCTGTGCTCCATAATTTGTTTCTGGTTCTTTTCTGATGTTTCCCTATCTCTTTATCTTCTGTGTTTCCTGATGTGTGAATCACATGAAGACTGTGTGTTTGAATTCGTGTACATGCCAGCACTGTACTTCCTGTTTTATTTTATATCCCTTTCCTCCCTTCCTTTCTCTGACCTTAATTTTACCAAAGGGTAGGTGGGACAATACTATATCCTGCAAATTTCAGCTTCAGCTTCAGCAAAACAAAAAAAAAGTCCAATGACAATTCATCAAATTTTGAATAAATATAGTTTTAAACATTGCAAAGTTCTTTAGAATCTAATTAGCAACGGCAGCTTTGAAAACACTCATGAAAAAGCAGCGACTGCAGATCCCTTCTGAGCCTGACACATAGTGTTAATTGGTATTTTACTTTGCCTTTGTATTTTTGATTTAGCTTCTTCCGACTTAATGAGTTCAGAGTTCTTTTAATTTAGCGCCTCATTCATTTAACACATACTTATGGTATGTGTAGCTGTTTCTCAGAAACGTGCACACTGACAGTACTTTTGTACCCAGTCACCATGTGTAGCATATCTTGGCCTATTACTGATCAACCACAGATATGAAGTCTCCCAAGGGAGGAGTGTCTTTCCTTGCGTGCTTAGCAGGTGACTCTTGGGTGCGTTGTGCTTTTATTACTACAGCACTATTGGTTTAGGTGTGTTTATAGTGTAAAATGTACTAAGGGAAGGTCCTGTCATTCCCCATTAAACCCACATGAAGATAAGGCTTCAGCAGCTAGCTAGAAATTAAGAAAATAAAATAGTGTGTAATGGTTTTTTTTGGTCTTCTCGCACCACCTATTTTACTTTTGATTTGTAACATACTTTCTTTCAGCTCTAGGTACACACACACACACACACACGCGCACGCGCACACACACA